ACTGCATCTTGCATTACTAATCCTTTATCTTTCATGTTAACAAAAAGATTACTGACATATTTTTGAATGAAAGAAAATAAAATAGCAAATGCATCTAAAGAACTGTGTAACTTTCATGCAACACACAAATCGGATGTTAAACGTGGAGGAAAAAAGGAGGGGAATGAAGGGAAGATTCATAATACATTTCCCTTTGTAAAGTGAGCAAACCAACTTTCTGTAATAAGAGAAACTACTGGAGGACCAGAGGAGGCTCCTTTATTAGCGGAGAACAACGTTACTGTTTAACAAGAGGCCAGATTCGGAGGGGAGAGGAGAAAATCTCCCCTGCCCGGGTCCCTGCTCTGGGGGTCTCAGCAGGAGGGGGGATCGGGAAATGCCACCCTCAGGGGCAGGGTGGCCTCTGGGGAGCCACGTCCACCAGCTTCAGTGTTGGAGAAGCCTTTGGCAGAGCAAAACCCAGGTATGGGGTGATTGGTTTTGGTTGGGGATAGGGGACACGGGTGCTGGCCCCCCAGGACGAGCTGTGCTGGGGCTTCTCAGCCCCGATCCCAGCCCTGCTTCTCCAGGAGGAAGCCTTGGCACATGGTGCTTCATTAGGAAACCTATAATTGAATTCCCTGACCATTCAGCTCTAAAACCCCTTTGATCAGGAATTAGTTAATTACATTGGGCCCGGTATATTCCTTGTTACAAATTTTGCCCGTGTCCCCCAGATATGCAGTTGCGGGCTCCGCTCGCATTGTGTCCTTTGAAATGCACTGAGGAGCCTTTGAAGCTCTCCCCCCTTAATGACGCATTGTTCCTTAATAAGTCTCCCGTAACACTTCCCCGTTAGGAAATCGCTGCCTGCCGCTCGCTTGGGCTTGGACAAGGAATAATAATCCCGATGTAATTGATGATGTTGCCGAATAAATGGGGATACGCACTACCTGGAGCAGGGCCGGGGGGAGCGCGGCTCCCCACCGCCGACCTTGGCTCCGACCGCCGTGCCAAAAATCCATTTGACTTTCAGACAGGCTCAAATCCGGCCGATAAGAGCTGGAGAGACGACGGGGAGCGTGGCGGAGAGCTGGGAAGCCAGGTAGGAAAGGAGGCAGATGGGGAGATAGCGGTGAGATGGGGAGATTGCACCTCGCTCATGTTGGCAGGGAGGGGGTTAAGGAGATGATTTCTGTCTCACCACCACCCCCTCAAAAAAGAAAAAAGAAAAAAAAAGTCTGTGTCTCCATGTCTATGTACCCAGACAGGAGCACAGCCCTGTGTGTCCATGCAGAGCTCCTGTCCTAGCCAGGAGGACATCTGCAGGATCATGGATTTCCTGCCACAGAAACCCTTCCTTGCCAAAACACCCCTGGGTAAACCCAAGGAGCCAGGGATGGCACTGTCACAGCAGCACTTTTCACTTTAAAACTGACCCAAATTCAAGGAAGTTTAACCAAAGGGGTTAAATACCTCCCTCCTCTTCCTTCTAAATCTCTTCTTCTCCCTCCAAACACAAAGCGATTCAGTCTGGGCTCATGAAAGCATCATTTCACTTTAACTCCTGCCAAAATACCCTTGAATCACTGCATTTTGCCTCAACCTTCTTCTCAAGCCCTGCCAAACATTGTTCCCCTTGCACATCACTTCCCCGTGCATTGCTCCTTTTGCACATCGCCTCCACCTGTGCCTTGCTCCCATTTGCACCTGGCTCTGCTTGCACATCGCTCTCTACATCACCCTGTTTGCACACCTCTCTGCTTGCACATTACTTCGCCTGCTTGCATGTCACTGGCTCGAAAACTGTTCCACTTGCACATCACTTGCAGAGTCTTGTCTCTTCCATTTGCTTCTATTGCCCTCTGCTGGGGACTGCCAAAGGGACGGCTGATCCCTCAGGCACTGCCTTCACCTCTCCATCTCCCTCTGCAATTTCAGGGGAGCCCCAAGCTGGGGTGCCAGAGCACTGGGGACACAGCCTCATGCAAGGCTCGGAGCAGCTTGGCTCTGCTGCTGCATCTACTTGTGCACGGCTTGGAAGCTGCCCATGCCCAGAGCTGGGCCCTTTTGTCGGTGGAGGAAAGGTTTCTCATTGAGTTTGTAGATGTCCAGAGGCTGAAGAGCATCAGCAACTCCTCCAGGGGATGGAGGGCACATATGAGGCTACCAGGTCACAGTGGGGGCTCTGGCCAAACCATGCTGTGCCCCCAAGTTCACACTGTTAAGGCCCAACAGCAATTTTATGGGGCAAAGCAGAGTGCAAGCATCCCACCAGGGCCACACCATGATCTCCCTGAGATTGCAGAAACACCAAGGTGCATTGCTCGGTCATGGAAATAACCCTGCCTCCCCAGGCAGCTTGGCAAGGGAACAAATGGGCAGCACAGGGAGGAATATTCTGCCTTTCCAACCATGTCATTTCTGTCCTCTGGCAGAAACGGGGGGGAAAAATAGCAGCAGGATGGACGGGCAGAGGAGGGGACTGGTGCCCACCCCACAGCTCCTGCTTCAAGTCCTCGCACACCCGCTGGATTATGGATGATGGAGGAGATGTACACCTTACAGCAATTAATTCCCAAAGTGTAATTAACATTTGGGCCAGCTCCGCACGATCCCCAGCTGCTAATGAAGCATGGCACCGCTTTAATTCCTGCAACGCCGCACCATCTTCTTATTAAATCCAGGGGTAGGCTCCAGCACATTTCCCTTCAAGGGAAAAAGGGGAAAGAAACAGAGCAGGATTTGTCTCAATGCAATATGATAGATTAGAGTTTTCCGGATAAAGAAAGTGGGGGGGGGGGGAGAAATTTCACATTTCGTACATGCGCACCCGCATATTCTCTTTCGCAATGACCTCCTTATGCCCCATCCATCAGCCTGGGGTTGGCTTATTCTAACTAGCAGAGTCTTTTCTCGTGTAGAACAGGCCCATCAGACACAATCTGCATGCCAATTACTGGAGCAGACCCCCTGATACCGAAAAATGGAAATTAGCTGTCAAGCAATGGCATCAGCAGGCTGGGTTGGATTGCCTGCGCTCCCCGCTGCTCATATGCATACGGGCTCGGCTGTGCCGTGACAAGGGAGCCCCCGATGGAAAAAGTAATCTAGAATAATAATAAAATAAAATAAAAAGCACACAACTAGCATATTTTATTGTTATTTGCCTTGGTTGCCAGCTCTAGGGGCACAATGCAAAATTCACTGGAGGGCAAAAGCCAGCCGGAGGATGGGGAGGGGGAAGAGCTGGGATAATTGCATTCTGCCAGCGGGTACCTCAAGCGATGGACGGGAAGGACACAGGGAAGAAACAGGGAAGAAACGTGACCATAAGGGCAAAGCAGAGCCTGGTTTGTCTGATGCCCCATGCTGGAGGAGCCCCAGCACCCAAAGGCATCTTCAGCAGTGCAGGACAAATCCCACCGTAGGACACAGGGGATGGGGAAGCAGCACACGTTGGCAGAGTCCCCAAAATCAGAGTGAGGTGGTTGGAAAGGCAGCAGCTGGCACGCACCTGCCTGCAGGAGTCCTCCCTGCAGGAATGGGGACAGCAACAGGCTCCCTGTGGGCAGGATGTGCTTGAGCCAGCGCCTGTGCAGGCAGCCCTCGGAGAGCTTTGCCAGGAGCTGGGGGTGAAAGGGGAGCTGGAGCTGGGTGCTGGCACCCTTGGTTGGTCCTGGAAGTGTTTGGAACCTGAGCTGTCTGCATCCTGCATCCATCCAACCCCTCGAGGACACACAAACCGAGAGCCCACAACTCGGCTGCCTTCACAGAAGCACCGAGACGAGGCAGAGTCAAACCCCGGAGGGAAGGAGAGAGGTGAGGGAAGGCAAAGGGGGAACAGGGGGAAGATGGGGACACTGCGCTCCCAGGGGGTCACGGTGCCTGCGGCTTGACAAGTAGCGCTTAACCTGCCTTCCCCTCCGTAATAACCTCATACATCAGCCGGGGGGAGACGGCCCGGGGGGCTCTGCTTCTGCCACCATCATTATCCCAGGGTCCCTCTGCTCCACCTGCAAACCGACCGGGCAGCCCCAGGAGGAGAGGGGCCTGTGCAGCCAGCATCACTTATCCTGCGTGGGCACGCATCCAGCCTGACATCTAGCGGCACTGGGCAAAACAGGGCCTTCCAAACTGGGCTGACTGGGAGCGCTGGAGAGCCTGACAGCCCCCTTTGCTCCCTGCACGTCTCAGGAGCCTGGGGACCAGCTCCTTCCCTTCCCCTCCTACTCTTTGGGGTCACCCAGCAGCAATCTCGCATCTCAGGGCAGTTTTGAGAGGTGCTCACCATCTCGGTCCGCATCCAGCTTCTTTTTCCTCTTCTAACTGCCCTGCTTTTTGTCGCTCTCCCCTCATCTCACACCTCCAGGGAGCACCCTGACACTCAGGGCTGCCAGGGTCCCCACGGAGGCTGTGGCTGACCCCCTCCTGCTCTGTCCCCTCTGCCTCCCACCCTTGTCCCAGTGCCTTGTGCACCACGAGAGGGACACGCTCCCCGAGACACAGGACAGCCACTGCCACCCGACCCAAGAGCAGAGGGACAGAGGGGACGGGGCCAGCACAGATGAGGAGGACAGCAGAGATGGAGGCTGTGCCTGGAGGAGGCTCAGCTCCACATCACCTCCAGCAGGGCAGGGACGGCTGGGAGGCAGGCTGGCACGCAGGGAAGAAGCAGGACAGGCTGGACTGAGCGACTCAACTGCTTTATTGGGGCGGGGGGGACGGCTCCTCTCCGCTCACTCGGCGATGCTGCGGAAGGACTGGACGGCGGGGCTCACGGCTCCCCACTCCACGGGCTGGCGGTACTCCCCCTTGGGCAGCAGGTACTGCCTGCCCCGGTAGTTGGGGTGCTCGTAGAACACCCAGACGCCCTCCAGCACCCGGCAGGCGTGGACCTCACGGATACGGCACTCGTCCATGATGGATGGGCAGTCCTCGGTGGCCTCGAACATCTGCCCACCGAAATCTCCCTTCTCGAACACCTGGATGTGGCCCCGGCCTCCACTCGGCTGGAAGAAACAAGGGAGAAAATTGTAAGGTGTTTGCTGAGGCACCGACAAATTCTCCAAGGGATGGGAGCAGAGCCAAGGCACAGCTGGGCTCAGGTCAGGCACCAAGCACCCCCAGCACACCAGGACGGCGCTGAACGGCTCCTGTCAGCCCCCCAAAAGCACAGCACGGGGCAATGCCCGACCACGCATCCCATGCAAAGAGGGCACTGAGCCCAAGCTGAGCAATTTCAGCTCAAAGCCCCAGCACAGCCCCGCTTCAGGACGGGCATAGGGAGGACAAACAAGTGCCGGGCTCTGTCCCAGACACGCCGCCTGCGCAAACCCTTTAAGCTGCTCGGTGAGATCCGAGCGGAGCGATGCACCCCCTCCGCTCCCCGCTCCTCCGGGCAATGAGGAGTTTAATGAGCTGGTGACCCCAGCTGGGTTGTATTACAGCAGAATGCAGCGCGGGTATTTTCCACTGTGATTTCAAGCGCTGCGTTGCCTGAAGGCACTGCGGCGGTTTTAATCTGCAGCTGCCTGGACACCGTCCTCCCCCACCTCCCCTCCCGTCCGCACTGGTTGCCGGCCCCAGCTGAGCTCTGCGGGGTCTCACGGATCCGTGATGCTGCTCCGGGTCCTCTGACCCTACCCCTGTGAGCCTCCAGTCCCTGTGCACGGGAGGCCAGGCACCGGTGGACGTGCAGCATTTCATGCTGGTGGAGGGGGCTGCACTGCTGTTACACCTCCCGCATGCTCCTGCTCCATCCCTAGCACCAGACCAGGGCTCTGAGCTGGCTGGAAACCCTCCCTGCTCTGTGCCAAGGGACTTACACCCACCTCAAACCCACAACAGGCTCAGAGTGGTGTTAGACCTCCAGACAAAAGCAAACCCCCCTTGCTCCACGTGATGCCAAACCGTGGCAGCGCTGCTCACATCAGTGATGCCCAGATCCCCACCAGCGTCTGCTCCACCGCTGGCAGGCACAGCAGCACCGGCGCTGGTGCCACAGCCTCACACACCCACGCTCCCATCCTGCTGGTTTTAAGGCTGCTCCTCCGCATGCCCTGCAGGGACTCAGCACTGCTCGGATTCAGTCCCCTGGGCAGGGCTGTGGGAGCGAGCCCCCTCCAGCCGTCCCCTCCCCGTCTCTCCAGGAGGACAGGGCCACCTCCAAGCACACCGGAGCGGCAGGCACGTAACCGCAGAGGCCCCTCGGGCCCCACACTTACAATCTGGACAGCCCTGCAGGAGCCGAGGCGGTCGTTCAGGCCCATCCAGTGGTGGTAGTCGGGATACTCGCCCTGCGTCAGCACGTACATGTTCCCCGAGAAGTCGGGCCTCTCGTAGGCCACCCAGGTGCCTCCTTCCACCCGGATGGAGTTGCAGCGGCTCAGGTAGGTGTGGAAGTCGGGGCAGTCGCTGTCACACTCGTAGCGACGGCCCAGGAAATTCTTGTCTTCGTAGAAGGTGATCTGAAACACAAGGAATAGAGGGAGATGGGGGTGGTTCCTCACCCCGCCGTGCCCGGGGAGGCGCGAGCAGCCCACGTGCAGGCAGCCACAAGCAGCATTGGCATTGCCGCTGGAAGCATCGCTCCAAAGCACACAGTCACACTCGGAGGTGGTCTGTAACCCCTCCTGCCTCTAACGTGAAGAGGAATAGAAAAAAGACCAACGATTTAATCTCCAAACTTCACTTTTCCAGGGAAAAGGCAGCCTTCCCAAGTCCTTTTCCAGAACCTGTATCCTATAGAGGCACAGACTGGTTTGGGCTGGAACACACATTACATAAGGATCGTCTTCCACTAGACACGGCTGTAGCCGCATCATGGTTTGAAATACTTGCAAACAGAGCCTTCAGGATGTCCATAAATCATCCAGCCCACCCACAGAGCAGGATCAGATGCATCCAAACAACCCCAGCAGCAGATCCACCGGTCTGGCCCCAACATCTCCAACCACCACCCTTCTCCAACTCCTCGGCCTTCCCAGCACCTTGCTCCATCCCAGTCCAACCCCTGGAAGAGCCCTGTTTTCTTTTCAGCAAGCGCTGTTAACATGTTCCCCTCCCACCTTCTCTAGATCAATAGTAACTAAATTACGGCCAAGGGAGCCATAAGTAGTCAATGGGCTGTACCAGGTTTATCGAGCGTTTGTAGTCAGGCCTCTATGACAAGGGAGTGGTGAGGTCTCTTCCCTCCTGGGCCTTGTTTTCAAGCCCTGTGATCATTCTCCTTGCCCCCACCCAACCTGGTCCACAGTTTGCTTTTGAGAAAGTCAATGCCAACAACTGGATATCACTTGAGCTTTACCCATGAAAAAAAAAAAAAAAAGTGCTTCAAGTGTGTAGGTAGCTCAGTTTCTATCACTGATTGCATTTGCAGTTGGCTTGTTCTGCTCTGGTGCTTTGCTGTTGTCACCAGTTTGACACAGCCAACAAATTCCCAATTCATCACCGTGCTTCTTTCCAAAGATCTGCACTACAGCCGAGCAGCTGATGGCAAAGCACTTCGCTTAGGGGTGCTTTTTCCCCTTGCTTCATCACAACCTGTTCCAACCTGATCTTGAGAGCTGGTGAGCAGATCCCATCCCTCTTGCCCAAGGTGTCACCAACCCATCCAGGCCTGGAGAAGTGATGTCCACGGACTTCAGAGGTCCTTTGATCACCAAGTCCTGGAGCAGCCCTTTGTGCAGCCCTCATTTTTGGTCATTCCAGATGACGATTACTTGAGAGCTGCTCTTTGGAGTAAGGGTTCCCAAACCACCACGTCTATTTTTGACTATTTCCCTTGCTTGCTTATGGTACAGTGAAGTCAGACCATGCCAAAAGCATTCCTCCTATGAAGTGCTGTCAAATTTCTCCTAGAGAAAATTACATGGGTTTGACATGAATCAGTCTCTTACTCCAGTGTCTTCTAGAGCCTTGCACTGAACCAACTGATGTGCAGGTCAGTGATCCAACGCAGTACAAACTCAGACAGCATTCGACCTTTCCGTTTTCCTAGGGTGGTTGGTTGGTCAGTGTGCCCCTTCAGCCCAACCCTAGTCTGGAGAGAGGATTTATGTCCTTGGTATTGTGCCCCATCACAGCAACAACGCTTTGTCTGCTGAATTGGTTAAGCTGTCCCTCTATTTCTAACAGAGGAGAGCTCATTTCATGTTCCTTCCCCACCTTGAGGAACACAAGGGAATTTCCATTCAGCAATGCTACCCGCTGCTCCTTGGGACATCTTCTCCCTGGACTTATAAAGCCACGAAGCCAAAACCAAATCTGAGAATGCATCAAGGAGCAGTGGTTTGTTGGTTTATTCTTTGAGCACTTAACAGGAAGATGTAATGAGCGGGCTCCTGCCCACCCATTCCCCACCATCGCCCTTTGCACACCCCCTCAGCTCATTGCAGACCCTCAGACCCAGCACCCCTCAGCTTTCCTTTGGGGCTGTGGGCACAAGCAGAGCAGACTGATGGTCCTCACCAGCAGGATAACGACAGGTGAATTACAGATTTCAATTCCAGATCCGTAGGTTGGACACAAATCACCTCTGTCAGCAAAGCCATGGAGCTGCCCTGCTTGCAGCTCCATCCCATTAACCGCTCGCTGCCCAAACATTGCTCTGGGGCTTACCTGGCAGATAACAGATTTGCCACGGCAGATCTTCCTTACACAACTGCAAAACTCTCCCTCCCTCAGCCACCTCATAGCAGTTATCACTTTTCTTCCCAACAGCAGGTCTGTTAGAGGGACACTTGTGAACAACACCCTTAAGCAATACCTGGCAGCACCCATGGCGTTCTATAGAGGCAGCATGGGGACGGTGATGCCTTTCTAGGGCAGACCACTTGCTTACGTTGTGGGAAATAGCACTTTATTTTTTCCTTTGCCTTTTTCTTCTCTTCCTGGAACATGCTACGTGAGAGCATGGCACAGAGAACAGACAAGATTTGGGCTCATGCGCTGACTTCACTCATCCCAGACGTTTTGCTACACCACAGCACACAATCAGGCAGGGCAAAGCACCCTAACAGAGGACGGGGCTTCCAGCAGGGACAGCACACGTTGAAGTATCTTCATGCAGATGGCAGGCAGTTACATTCCGCAGCACCTTCATGCACGGGTACATAAAGCCCGCACAGCTGCAGCCCCCAGGCTGGGAGGCGGTGGCACACCACGCTCAGTTTCTAAAGACCTCTCGGAAATAGCTCAATCACTTCAAACCAGACAAAAGGAGCAGGGAAGCAGAGAGCGAGTCCAGACCTTCCGCAGCACAGACCAGTGCCTGCAAAACCACTCTGCCCCCGAGCTCTCTGCCCGCTGGGCCTTACAGACTCTGCAGGCTAAGAGGGACATAATCTGGCAAGGGAATACAAGGGGACACCATTCAGCTGTCCACAGGCTCTTAGCCTGTGGACACCTGTTCAACACTTCCCAGAGGAAGCGGTCCACAAGCCCCAAGTTCTCACCCTTACCCCTGACCCAATCCCAAGCCTACAGCACTGTCTGTGTGAACAGCCAGCAGGGTTTTGCCACCTCCACATCGAAGCTCCCAGCATCTGAGCTGGATCCCCACCTAACACACACTGCCCCAGCTGAAGGTGAGCTTTGTGACCTACCTCTTCAGTTTAAGTCACCCCTCCTGATTCCACCAGATCACAAATGGTTCTCCTCCCTTGTCAGTGCTATTGCCTTTGGCGCTACAGCCATGATTCAGGCATCGGTCTGTCCCTTTGCTCCACCACAGAAGGGGGATTCAGCAGCTGCTGATAGGACTCGGCTCATCCCAGGGAAGCTTTCCACGAGACCTTGTTCTGCAAACGCACCTCATCATGCTCACTGCTGGCACCGCAGCCTTCGCCATCGATTTACAGGGCATCAAACCTCAGTGTACTTGAAAATATCGTGTGTAGGTTGCAAATAAACTTACCTTGGTTCCAGCTCTGGACATTTTCTGTTCCAGCCAAACTTCCCAGTGCTGGAGGCACGTCAGGACCTCTTACAAACAGCCAGGATGCGAGGCGCCCCTTTTATAGTGGGCTTGTTTTAAACCAGCCAGCCGCTTTGTCATGAGAATAGGATCCAAAAATTGAGTCAGTGATTCTGAGGCTATAGCCGGTTTCCAGAAAAACAAACGGGATTATGGAATAAAGGAAGGCTTCGCTGTCCTCCCTTTGTTACCATTTGCTGAGTCAGAACACCAAAACTCTGCCAAACGCACTCAAAGCACACAGCCCCCTGCCAAGCCCTGGAGGATGGGGTAGTGGGGAGGGCATTTTGGCTGCTCTCCCTTTTAAGCATGTTAAACAAGAAGCATCCTAGTCAGCTCTAAAAAGGCCCATCCCCATTTGCAAGGAAGAAACACAAATATTTATTAGAGAACGTTCCCATGCAATGAAGGGTGCAGCTAGGAAAGGGTGAGCACGTGCTCAGAGCAGACCACAGCTCGCAAAGAACAGCCTCTGCTCAGAGGCTGTGCTTCAAAAGCCCTACGTGGAAACTTCACTGCAGCAAAGGTATCGTGCAGTTTTACAGCACGCCCTCAGCTGAGCTATATTGCTCTAAACGGTGCCTGACATCAAGGAGAGGAAGCATTTCTGGCCATACACCCCAAAAGTGACAGTAAACAGCAAAGAATGCACCTGAATCTCTGAAGAAGTCTGCCACTGACACAAGTTTAACTCAGAATTCTTACCCCACTGCTTGCAGTTTAAGCAAGGGATCATTTCTTTTAGCTGGCCCACCAAGCAGGGAGGGTGAGGAATGCTGGCTTCTGTACACCCGCACACCCCTGAGCCTCCACATTATAAAAACCACCCCTGCAGCTATTCACTGCACCAACCCCACAGCTTAGCGGAACAAAGGCACAAAGCTGGCACCGCTGCGCCTGAAGCACACAGACCCTGCTTCAAATCTGTCAGGGCAGTCTCACGACAGGGGCTCCCCGTGCCACCCCACACACGCTGCTGCAGCCCTGCTGAACACCGGAGGAATTCGCAGTCAGGTATAACCATCGGAGACAGACAGGTGCTCAGCAGCATCTCATCCTCCTCCCATTTTAGGTGTCTTCAATTATCTAGTGCTGCTGCTCACATCTCTTACTGACAGGAAGCTGTGAAGCCATTCACAGATATTTCATTTTTTAAATCCAAATGCTGTCCTGCAATGACCAAAGCCCGACCCAGACCAAGATACTATTAGAAAGCAACCCAGTAGGTTCAGGACAGCTCCACTGCAGACAGGGTCCGCTAGCACAAAATGAGCACGGGACTCATTTATGTTGATATTCTTTGCAGGAAATAAAGGCAGGAAACTGTGTTTCTTTCAAAACACTGCACTAAGATAACCTTCAAAGCCTTCAGCTCCTTTGCTGCTAAGAATTTGGTACTTTTCTCTCAGCTGACCGGGTCACCTTTCATCAAAGCTGTGAAGATGCTGTGTCCCTCTAACACCAACTGTGTAGGTAAAACTCATTCCCTAGAACACGTGCCAGGCTTTTCTGAGAACTCTATTTTATTGACACTTGTCAAAACAAAGCAAACGTACAAGAAAGGTAATTCCACAAAAATCACATTGCTTAAGTGCCATCTTCGTATTTAAAAAAAATCTATAGAATTTCATTCATAAAAAAAAATCAAAACATTTCCTTTTCACATTTATAAAAACAGTGCAGCTGGCTTGTATCATAAGGATGTGTGGGACAGCCAGGGCCCTACGCCCAGCGCCACACCAGGAGAGGCTCCTTCGTTGGACACCTGCACACCACGGATGCTACCTGGCACCAGCTGCCCTGCGACAAGCAGGGCAGGCACTTCCTCCAGCAGCATGCACTTCCTCAGTTACCCACAGAATAGTTGCAGCACATTCCTGGAAAAGTGGCAGCAACTGAAATCCTAAACCAGAGAGATGTCCAAATCCACTCCGAGGCTGGGCATCAGATCCACATGAAGCGTGTTCAGTCGTGACAGCTGCAGAGTCGTGATGAGAACCGCCTTCAGGGTATTGCTTTCTCTTCCTACAACTCTGTAACAAAGGAGAGGAGCAAAGTTTAGGCTCAACACTAGCAAAGAGAAAGCAACATGAAGGCTAAAGGGGGAAAAAAGTTTGTTATTGTTTGAAATATGCAATAGCAGAAGAACAGGATAGGGGCCTGCCTCCAACTTCTGAATCACTTCTGCTTAGGAAGAGAAAGAGACTGCAAAATAATTAAAGTCTCACCCAATTCTCTTAAACAGAAAGTGAGTCAGGTGAGTACAGACATTAATACACAGCTTCTTTAAAAAGGCAGCTGTTCAAATAAGTTTTTACTTCAGATTATGTACAATAAGCCTATCTGTCTTCACAGATGCACACAGATGACCCCAGCAAATCAAACACCACCTGTGGAGAACAAGGGAGGTGCTGAGTACACACAGAACAGGCTTAAACTAAAAAGAGGTTTTGACTGCAAAATGAGAACTAAAACCAAATGCACAGCTCTCGGGAGAATCTCCACCAAGCAGCTTCCAGCTTCTTCCTCCTCTGCCTAGGCTGTACGTACAAATACGGGACAAGTCTTCTAGATACAGAAGAATCAAGAGAAGCCCTGTACTCACCCTTCCTTTCCTTTTGTTGCACAGGAACACGATGCTATCCTGCTGCCTGCTTGGAGCCCACAGCAGGAGGGACAAGGCTATCCAGCTGCTGACGGTTCCCTGTCTGAATCAGCCATTCATAGAACTTGCTTTCCACCAGCATCTGGAACTGCTTCCTCTGATCCCTGCAACCAAAAGAAGATGATCAGCAAGGAAGCATGCAAAAGTCATACTTTTTTTTGTAGTATTATTCTTCTAAACCTCACCTTCTCTACCGAAACAAGCCTCTAAACATATCAGCTAAGAGCTGGGCTTGGTTCAAGAACTGCCTGTACCATGAAGAGAAGGTTTTTACCACGTGAATGTAACTAAAGTTAACCCCAAAGGTAGAACTCAGCAGTTACACAAGTGACAAACTTCCCACTCCTTTAGCAGCCACCCTGCTCCACAAGGCTTCCTCTGCTTTAATCTTAGAGCACAGATTAAAAACCATCTGAAAAGGTAGAAAAGGATCAGTAATGAATGTTCAAGCAATGGAAACAGAAAATTTCATTGTGACAACATCTGGAAAAGAGAGAATGGAGATGGGGGAAAGACGTACGTATAAACACCACTCCTTAAATAACTCCCTTTACTAGGAAATAACTGTTTTTTTTGGCAAGACCAACAATAACAGGGTATATCACCTCTATCACTCTCTCTGGCAATGATCAAACGTCCAAGAGCAGCACAGTCTCATGGCAGTATTTCTCCAGAACTTCCCAGCCATCTGGGATCACTTCAGCTCCTGAATTTCTTATGCCAAAGGTGGCGTTAGTGTTGAATAGCTCCTGACAGACTTCTTTTTCTATGAGCTTACACAATACATTTCTGAACCAAAGTAAAACATGAGCATCTTCAATATCCTTTGGAGATTTTGTGTGGTTTTGCTTTGACTCGTTCCTAATTTGTTTTGATGCTCCTATCCTGTACTGGGAAAAGCAGCAAACCATCCCTATTCATTTCTGTGCCACTCAGCTTCAGAGGGGCCCAGTTTACCCACACCCTTTTTTCAATTTAAAGGCTCTTCTTCTTTGTACTGTCACTTCCATTGGAGACATTCACTGACAAATTCCCCAGAAAGCAGGCTTCTAGGCTGGAAGCTAACCTAAATTCCTCCCCAGTGAACGTGAACACAAAGGCAGTCACTCCTCTCTTCTCTCATGGCTTTATCTTCTCCACGTGCTTATTATACACCTCGATCTGCTGCTGACCCTGAAAGACTTTGTCTGATGTGCTCAGAAAACAAGCAAGCAGGATTTTACGCTTTTGCAAGTTGTTCCTCCAGCTCTCTTACTGGTCCTGTCTTAAGGGGTTTTTACCTTTAGCCTGGCAGGATTTACATTCTTTTATATTCTTTTTTTTTTTTTAAGCCCACTTTCCTCGTTCGGACAACTTCCAAGTTTTTGAAAGATGGCTTTTACTGATAACAGTTTGTTTCACCTCCCTGCTCAAGCACCAGCAGCTTTTTTTCTTTCCACACACCTGATCATCTGCTTGCTCCAAGTTGTCTGTCTAGTCGTCTCCCTGCCTGCAGGGGACAGACACACTATACACTGCCAACTGCCTAGCTTCTTTTCAGCAACCTTCTAAACCTGGGCCCCTTTTTCCCCTCTTATGAAATAAAGCAATCCAGTACCAAGCTCCCACCTCCTGTGACTGCTGTAGAGGACACTAAAACTAAGCGCATCATCTGCATTATCTAACATTCCTTCAGCTGTAAGATTTTGGTGGGCAAAATACCTTCATAAAACCCTGAGGGAAGAGCAACAGCACTGAGAGGGCAATGGCTGCAGAGACAAGAAGCACCTCAGATGAGGCTGATAAACACAAGGATGACTCCAGCACAACAGTCAAGGTTCAGATTTTCCTCTCTGCTGCTTTTCAAGATTTAAGAGCTTAGAGTTGTGAAGGTTTTTATACCTTTGTCACCACTACTGGGTCACTTCTGCTCAACCATCCTCTATTTGTAGCAGAATCCCACCCAAGAATCCCTTCTCCCCTCTCCATTTTGGAGTTCTTTCAAACTGCAGGCTCCTGAGCTCTCTGAATGCCACAAAGGGACAGGGAAAGCTGAGCGAGCTGCTCCAGAACAATGAACAAACGGACTCAAATTCCTCAGCTTGGTATGAAAGGAACTGTTGACTGACCCAACAGGTGGTTTTCATAGTCCCTGCGTTCCACAAACCAAACCCCTCTGAGATCCCTGCTTTTCACCCAGTTACAAGCCCACTGCAACTCATCAGCTGAGCACAGAATAGGAAGAAAATATATACAGTGCAAGCACAGCTTAGGGATCAAAAGTTGTTTTCACCTCTTCAGATCTTTAAAATCAACTATCTGCACTTCTACCCCTATTCTCTGTTTGTCCTGAAGCCAAATCCTTCAGGTTGCTACATCAAAATGGTTCCCAGAAGATAAAAGCAGCAAAACTGAAGGTGACAGCTTTTTACACCTGCCCAATCTGGCTGGCTGCTCAAGAAAGCGTGTTAACAAAGGAAGGAAGGTGAACTCATTCAGAACTCCCCAACAGGTGCTGAGAAAGCAAGTGGATGTGTATCAGTATACAAGACAGGCTAAGCTGGGACTACTTAGAACAGTAAATGCTGGGCAGAGGATTTTAAGGAGAACTTTAAAAGCTACTGTCCGTGAGGTGATTTACAGTAATGGTCCACATGCATATTCTCAGCTCACCTCAACAACAGATGGGACAGTAATTTAAAGCTTCGATCTCAATGTAAAGGTTGGGGCTAAGAATGATCACCAATCAGCTGCAGGCCAATAATTTGTGGAGCTGTTGTTCAGGGTGCGTGCCCAGATCTCACCCACGTCAGCATGCAGCACTGGAAGCAGAACAGAGACAGCAAGGAGACAGTACCCAGCGTGAGGTAAGCCGTAAACTCGTGCCACCAGGACAGATCCCTCGCCTCAGCCCTCAGCAGCATCTAGGCATGCTTCCCCTTCAGCTTTGCAAGCATGCAATCAGGAGAAAGCACCTCCTGCAGAGTTAACTGTAAACGTTATTCCCCTTGCCACAATACTGAAGATCAGGATCTCAAGATTGCCAAGTACTCATACTTTAGGACTGGCATGCAAGATGTAGCTCACAGAAACCGACCCATTACTAAAGCACTTTTGCAGAACCGCATCAAATTAGACTTGTTTGTATGACCGCGCTGAGCTTCAGCGCAGCTCACACCCGTCGGGACGCGGCACTCACTTGCTCAGGCACGCCTCCTTCACCATTTTCTGCCAGATCTGTACCTTCTGCTCCCGCTGACTCAGTGCCTTCTGATAGGCATGGGGAAGCCCCCCCGGTGTCTCCGTGGTGTCTCCTTCCATCTCAAACGGGATGACAAAGGTGTAGAAGTCTGAGGGCGGCAGGAGGCGGAAGACACTGGTGTCACTGCTCTCCTTGCCCAGCAGCATGGGGCTGTCCCAGTAGTTGGGCAGGGTGGCCAGGCCCACCTGAGCCATGTGGTCTTCCAGCATGGGGTAGTGCGTGTGGAACGGGGCGAGGCTGACCGCCTGGTTACCCGCGAGGATGAGGGGCTGGGTGGGCGTCAGAACGTGGAAAGTACAGCCCGTGGTGGAAGAAAGGGACAAGCTGTAGCACACCGCGATGACCTTGACGTTGTCACAGCTGTGGACGTGAACGGACACCTCCACAGGGCCGAGCACGAAAGTGCTGTTCCGGCACTTCTCAATGGTCACAGAGCTGCAAAAGAGCAACGGAACGAAGACACAGTGAGCAGGAAAGACTACAGCCAGAACTTTCTCGCTACTCAATCCACCTAACAAGAGCTTAGCACTTAAACAAATGCTGAAAAAATATTTGGCTGGGCCTCAAGGGAACACAAACTCACCGAAGAGGAGAGAGGAGATAAATGAAGGACTCATTGCAGCGATGAATTCTTACGTGAGCCCCCACCAAGGTGTCCGAACTCTTGGCCAGCGTCTGTTTGTACACCTGGCTCATTATCACCATGGGGAATACCTCCGGCACCACAGGAGTATTGCAGGCAATCTTTGCTCTCCTGGTTGTTCCCTCTACTGCAAAATAAAGTTAATATATTTAAAATGAAGGAAAACAAAGAGGCTATACATGCCTCCTACAGAGAGACAGACATGATGGTTCACCATCCATGTCACCTGGCAATCCCTCCCGAAAGTAATCAGCCCAAAACCTGACAGTAGCACGGTGACACCGTGTCACCACGCAACAGTCGTACCGGAAGATCTTTAGGGCAAGTGTTCAGTGTTGTGTTGAAAGTATGGACAGCACACTTTAAGATATGCTAAACCAGCAACATGCTGCCCCTACAGCACAATCCTTGAGCAACTTCACTGTTCTACCAAACACATTTGCCACTCTTGCTATTGTGCGGTCAAATTAAAAAAAAATAAACTTTTTTTTTCTTCTTTCTAAGGGGAAAGGTGCCTTGGCTCTCCACAGTGCCGTTGTGGGTGAAGGGCTGGGATTCGGGGCATGAAAAATCCCAGTCAGTTCTCGGCTTTGCCACAACCACATCACATTATCTATTTTCTGTGTTTGTCTGTACTTGAATAATGAAGGTTGCAACACTGACCTTCTTCAGGGGGGTCTTTGAAAACTAAGTCATTAACATTTGCTCACAAAAGTGATCTGAGGACTGGAAAAGCACACACAGGTACCACACTCCTGCAGACTCACCCCTAAGCTCTCACTTTCCCCATATTCACTATCAGCTGGAGGAAAGAAAGGCAATCCCCTGCCAGATCCTTGCTAAGCAAGAGGAATTGAGGCTGGAAAGTTATTTCTAAAAGTAAAGGCAAGGCCTGCAGATACCTTGCTGTGCCCAGGCAAGCTTCTTCCCAGACCTGAGGCAGGCAGTCATTCCAAAAGGGTTTGTTGTCAGGCAGGAGCGCAGCCAGCTCTCCAGCTTGGGGAAGGAGAAGGCGTTGTTGCTCTTTGAGTAGCCGTTCTTCTCTTGACAGGGCTGCCAGAGGGCAAGCTCGTGCAGAGGATGGACGGTCCCAGAGCCCTCCACAGTCCCTTCAATGAGAAAGCTGAGGGCACAGACGGCTTCGTAAGACACCAAGCTGTTGCTGGTGGCGTGGGAGGAGGCGCTGAGCTGCTCCGGCTCCAGCAGCAGTTCCAGCATGTCCGAGAGGTGGGCAAGCACGAAGGCAAGGTGGTCCTGGTCGTTCCAGTTCTTAGGGAGCAGAAAACCAGGAGTGAGGTGAATTCTCAGAGAGATAACAAACTCCAGCACTACTGTACAAACACCCTTGCCTAACTCGTTTTAAAGGAGGGGAAGATGGTCAGACACGGTGCCCGGTCCCACTGCTCTGCCCTTCCCAAACACAGAAAGGAAACCAGACTCATCAGCAAGTGCCTCCAAGAAAGAAAAGCGTTCTTATTCTAACTCCAAACACCAGCTATTTCATTCTAGAAAGCAGAAACAGATTCCCCTGCAATCTCTCCCACAGAAACTCAGCCAGCTGCTGCTAGCACTGAAGGTAGGAAACAAATCAATAGCTGACAGCCAAGGTCTTACAGCTGCTCTGCTGGAAAATCGCTGCATCTGCTCCAGACCTTCAGCTATGATTAAGCGCTTCTGATGAGGAGCCGCAGAAAAAAAAAAATAGAAAAAAAAAGCAGGGGGTCATTTCTTCGCAGGCAAGTGGACCAATAAAGCAACCAACCCCTGAAAAAAGCACTAGTTCAGATTCTAAACGGCTCCATACCACAAAGAGTGAAGGACTGGAGCCACGGCAGACGTTAATAAAGACAACCTTTGCTGGCCTGCGAGCTGCAGAATGAGCACCCAGCTGCGGTTACACGTTGTCCTCACCACGTGAGGGGGCACAACATGCAGCCACAAGCATCTCGTCTGGAGAGCCCAGCATCGTGACAGAGACCCTCTCATGCACAGAGCAGCCCTCGTTCCTGTTCAGAGTTTTGTGTAAAAAGTGACACCTGAGCAGCAGTCTGAAGACAACATCAACTTCTCAATTCCACTGGGTGCTCCTGTGCCACCCGTCTCACAGCCATCTACCAGGTCCTCTCATTTCTTTCCTCATTTGTTAGATCTCCTCGTTAAATCTAACAGGGCTACCCATTTTCAGTCACTTCAGCTTGCCCTGCCCATGCTTGCACAGCTCAGGGCAGCCCAGCCACAACAAACCTGCTGAGGTTTGCAGCCGGCCTTGATCCCGATGGGGTCAACCTATAACTCACAGAGTTACACCCACCCAAAATCTGCTTCCAGGACACCTTACAGGAGGCGTTTGTGTTCCAGGTGGCTGCCTGACCGCATCGCAGCCTCTCTGAGGCACAACCTCAGGTCAATTTGTCAGGGAGCGCCCTGGGACCCCCTGGCTCTGTAGGAGGAGGTGGGACAGCAGCTTTTAAGGAAGGAAGAGCTGCCTGAAAGAGGAGGCTGCTGCTTCTTAACCAGCGAGCCGGGAGGGCTCCGAGCGAGCTCCCATAACCTGTGGGAGTGCCTGTGTGGATCCCACACCCCCCTCACATCGCTTAATATTTAACCAAGCTCCGCCAGCCCAGAACCCCCACCACACGCAGCACCTCACTCCCCCAGCCCCAAAACAGCCGTTTTTCCCCCAAAATCCCCCTGGAGGGGCTCTCACCTTGCTCTGCCCGGCTCCTTTCCCCGCCGGGCCGGGGGCTGCGGGGCTGGGCCACTGCTCGCCTCGGATCGCCGTGCGCAGGGACAGGCGGCTGAGCTGCTGCAGGTAGAGGAAGAGCAGGAACCGCAGCGTGTCCACAGAGAGCTGCGGGGGGAGAGGCAACGCCATGACACGGGGACACGACACACACAGAGCCCGACCCCCAGCCCCAGCCGGCCCCATCCCGGCCGTGCCTTGCTCCGCTCCCTCTCCAGCTCCTCGGCGCTGCCGCACGCCGCCTCCGCCTCCGCTCTCCGCAGGCTGCGGGGCGGCGGGGCCGGGAGGAGGCGGAGGAAGCGCTGGAAGTAGAGCCAGGCCAGGCCGCGGCCCAGCCGCAGCTTGCCGCAGGCGATGTGCCGCCAGCTCGCCCAGCGCAGCCGGGGGAAGCAGCCCTCGGCCGCCCGGCGCCGCGCGTACGCCGCCATCTTGCGCAGGTAGGGGCGGCCCAGCCGGGCTGGCGGCGGCAGCGGCAGCGCGCCCAGCAGCGGCGGCTCCGTACGGACCCACAGCGCCACGGCGGCCGCCATGACGGCTCCTTTGCCGTACAGCCGCCCCCCACCCCACCCCGCCTCTAAGCGCGCTTCCCATTGGCCCGCCGCCCAGGCGCCGGTGAAGTGTGAGCCGCGGATTGGTGGAGCGGAGCGGGCGGGGAGCGCTCCCATTGGCTGCGAGGCGTGAGGCGGGCTGGGCGGGGTGGCGGCGGTGCCTCCTCCTCCTCGCCCCGCTGCCGGCCCGCCGCCGCCATGGCCCCCGGGCGGCTCGGCCGCCTCAGCCTCCTGCTGCCGCTGCTGCTCTGCCTCTGCGGGGAGGCCGCCGCCGGGTGAGTGCCCTCAGCCCCCCTCAGGCTCCCCTCAGCCCTCCCCAGGCTTCCCTCGGCCTCCCCCCTCAGCCCGCCTCAGGCTCCCCTCAGGCGCTGACGGGGCCCCGCCGCCCCCCCTGTGTCTCCCCGCTGCAGGAGGGATTTCTACAAGATCCTGGGGGTGTCCCGCAGCGCCTCGGTGAAGGACATCAAGAAGGCGTACCGCAAGCTGGCGCTGCAGCTGCACCCCGACAGGAACCCCGACGACCCCCGGGCCCAGGAGAAGTTCCAGGACCTGGGAGCCGCCTACGAGGTGAGGGCCGGTGCCCGGGAGGCTTCGGGCTGGGGTAGAAATCGGCCCCACGCCCCCAGCAGCGCTGCTGGGAGATGTAAACCCTCCTCTGTGAGGCTCTGGGGAGACCCGGCCTCCCCTGGTCCTGTGCTGGATCTCAGGTGCTGGGCCTAATGAGAACAGGTGGGCAGAGAGGCTGCCGGGCTGACCAGATGAAGGCGTTTTATAATTGTTAGTCCCATAAACGTAAGGAGTTCTGTTCCGTGACAATGGAGCAGCATGTAAATAATAACCGATAGCATAACATACCAGGTAAATTGTGTGTGAACTGCTAGCCAGCTGTTCTAAGTCAAAGTCTGCCATCTCCTCTGGCACGTGCGTGGGCATGGACACAACTCACCAGGCAGCTGCTTCTGTTTCTTTCTTTTTGCTTCCTCTGCCGCTGCTGGTTTCCTGCTGCTCCTGCCACCCCCTGGAGCAGAGGGCTCCTGAGGAAGATGAGAGAGCACTGACCAACAGGGAGCCAGGTGGGGTCTTGGTGTTGACTCAGAGGAGTCAGGCTGTAGGATGAGCTGGAACCAAGAGCTGTGGTCAGAAGGAAAGGGGCTGTCCCCCCTGTGCAGCCTGGTGGTGCAGCTAAACCTCTGGGTGCTGCAGGGCTCCAGCTGGCGCCCTGATACTGCTCTGTTCTTCCGACATGCAAATACAAAATGAATGAGGAAGTGAGGTGAGAAATAGCGCATCAGAGTCCAAGTTGTCCGGCATAAAATTGGGAGTTCTGGTGCCAGCACAGGCAAAACAAACGCAGCATGCTCTCACCTAAACCAGGGTGGTTTTTACCATAAAACATCAGCCTCTCCAGTGCTGCTCAAGGTTTGTCTTACTGAGTATCTAGAGCGAAGTCTTTAGGAAAGAAATGTGGGGGAAGTAGGTTAATTAAACAGCTCAGTGTCCTTCCTTCAAACAGCCTGAGTGATTTTTAACACGCCAGCTGAGTGGCACAGACACAGATGCTTCAATTAAAGGAGACTCCTACATGTAACAGCAGCTGTTAGTCTCAGGATGGTTTGGGTATGAAGTTTTTGCTGTCTTTTATTTTTCTGAGCTTACCCACTGTAGCTGCTTTGCTTTTGAGGTAACTTAGCATAACAAACAAGAGCTTTCCTTGTGATGTTTGGAGTGGTGTTCCACTGAAGCCTGCAGACAGAAGCAAAATGAATGGAAAGGCAAATGTTTTGTTCTTTAATTCTTTGTTACTGCTTGTGATACTGTCAGTCGTCCACCAGGAGAATTCTGTTCCTTCACCAACAGATCACAGAAGGGAAAACTTATCCTGCTTCTATGTAACAGGTGCTTTAATGCAAATCTTAGGTGGCAGAGGGAGAACTGAGCTCTTATCTCTAGTCCTGGAAAGATGAAGTTGATAGTTAAAGTCACTGTTTTGTGGGTTTTTCTTTTTCCTCTCCTTCTCCTTTGTTGCTGATGTTTATCGCTGGCTACGATATCAGGCTGTTGATCATCATTAAGCCAGTTTCTCCACCTGTTCCCACTCCTTTCTAGCCTTCTGAAAGCTAATCTGGCAACCATGACCTTCCAAAACATCATCAACTGGTCAGGAAAGGGAAGGGAGGCTACGTGTGACTAGAAATTTGCAGATCTGTGCCTGAGGAGCAAGAGCAAAGATCAACACCTAGGAATTAAAACTTTAAAGCTTTACAACCTTGAGTGCTGTGTGTTGGGATGCGTTATTGTACCTTAGTACCAAGGCTGCTCCTTTTGAATTTGGCTGCTTTTAGAAGTGAGGGTCAGCGTTCGAGCTGGTGCAGAGTTAGGATACCTGGCAGATTCAACTGGGTAGGTAAATGTGCATTCATTGCTAAGTGTCAGGAAACACTTGTCAGAGGAATACATGTTCCAAGGGTTAAAGAACAAGCAGAGGAAATGAGGGGGGACATTGAGCGTTGTTTTCTTTTTCATTGAGAAGCAGTTCCTGCTTTGTAAGAGCTGGTTTTAAATTATTATTTCCTTCTGAGTCTTTCTCGACTCGTTAAGATAAACTCAGTATTGTTCATATTTTCTACATTGCTTCTGCTGTTTTAATAAACTAATTTTAACTTAAGGGCTTAACCAACAAACATTTAACTTCACAGCACAGCAAACAAGTTGTAGCCAATGCTTCTGTACCCTGAAGCATTGCTGCTTGACCCCTGGTAAGAGCCTGGCATGGCTCTTCTCTGCCCCTCATTTAAATAGCCCTGTTCAGCTGTGGGTAAAAGCCTTGTCTCTCTGTGTCCCGCTGCCAGGTGCTGTCAGACGAGGAGAAGAGGAAGCAGTACGATGCCTATGGTGAGGAGGGGTTGAAGGACGGGCACCAGAGTTCCCATGGAGACATCTTCTCGCAGTAAGACTTTGCCACTTCAGGTTACTCTGTAGTCAGAACTGTAATTCTGTGATGCTCATGCATACATTTGACAAATTCAGTGTTAAAAGCTTTTACCGGCTCAGGGGCACTGATCTGAGGTGACAGCTGAAGGTTTGAAGAAACACATTTGCAGTGGATATCCCACATGCCGTTACATTTGTCTGTCTCGTGGTGGCCCTTTCTCCAAGAGCAGTGAGTGGGAAGCAGTGTTGTCTGTCCACACGGACGGCTGTCACTCACGTGGGTGACTTGTGAGGTGCTGCAGCTGCATTAAATACATGGCATCGCCCCTGCATTTTCTGCTGCATGGTCATTTAACATTTTATCACAGACTGTGTGCACGCTTGGGGGTTCTTTTCTTCCTTTTGCAAGGTAATGCTGGAGTAACTTCCAGAGAGCAACTGTAAAGTTTTGATCAAAAAAATTGGAAGGCATTCACTTGTTGCTCAGGCAGAACCTGATCTCGTAGTTGTTTCAAGGGCCTTCTGTTTCTGCTAGGAACTAATTTGCTAAAATAATTCCTTAAGTCGCTCCTCTCATGTAGTCCTGGGTGAGAACTTCCACCGTCTGCTGGTCCATTAGGGAAAGAACACTCAGACTTGTCAGGGTTTTTTTTTCTCATACTGCTTGTCCTTAAACTGGTGAAAACCAACCTGCTAGCGCTGAATTGAAGAGCTCAGAGCTTGTGCCTCAGGGTGAGGGTGGCTGAGCAACAGAGCCATGCGGAGAGGCCTCCCGTTAGGCAGCTATCAGGTTCTGAAGCATTGCTGCTGCCTTGGGTGGCTCTCTTCAGCAAAGCCACTTTTGATCAGAATTCCTTCCTGAACTGACCAATGTCCTTCACTCTAGCTTTTTTGGGGACTTCGGGTTCATGTTCGGAGGTAACCCTCGCCAACAGGACAGGAACATCCCGCGGGGCAGCGACATCATCGTGGACCTGGAGGTTACGCTGGAGGAGGTGTATTCAGGGAACTTCGTAGAGGTAAGTCTGCGGGCCTGTTGGGCTCTCCAGCGTGTTCTCAGCTCTCAGATGGCTGGCTGGGCCACTCTCTCTTCTCCAGAAGAAGAGAACTAAAACAGATGCTTGTTTTCTCGGTGTCTGTCAGTAGATGATGTTATGATGCTGTTTGGTAGTAGATAAAGGAATACATTGTTCCGTCAGTTATCTTTGCCGTCTGGCAACTTGCCTGTGTGGTGCTCTTGTGACAGTAACTTACTGCCTGTCAGGGCCTAGCTGTGGCCAGTCTGCAGTAGCACGGCTGGAAAATGTTTTAGCGGTTTCTCTCCAGAATTTATTGTTGTTTGAAGCTAAAACACTTAATTTAGTTCTCTGTTTTTCAGCAATCCTTAGAAAACCATGCTGTGGATTTTTTGTCACTTTTTTTATGTGGCCAAGCATATCATTATGAATCTCTGGATTGCATACTTAACAAACATATAGTGGCACTTTAATTATTATTTTTTAAGCAAGCTGAATTTCTGGTGCTCACAATCTCTGCTGTACTGTGTTAGAGTTTGAAATGCTCAAATTTATGTTGTGAGTGGGTAAATCAGAAACTCAAAATAATTTTGCCCAGCATGTGGAACGAGGAAGCTATCGCAACCAAAGGCGATAGCAAAGGTTTCAGCCTAGTGTTACCTTTCCTAGAGGAAGGTGGCAATAGGACCTCAGAGATGGTTTTCTGGTGCTTGGGAATTTAGTGTGGGAGGCATAAGGTGAAAACCGCTTAGAGAAATTAAGGATAAAATCACTTAGAGTTTTGCCAAGATCACATGCAGCTACCATGGAGGCAGCAGAGTGTAAAAAAACAAGTTATGTTCAGGCTGTTTGGGGAATCAAGGACCAGGGGTGCTGGTTTGTCTGCTTATGTCAGCCTCTTTCGTGCAGGTGGTTAGGAACAAGCCAGTGGCAAGGCAGGCACCTGGCAAACGGAAATGCAACTGCAGGCAGGAGATGAGGACCACGCAGTTGGGCCCTGGACGTTTCCAGATGACTCAAGAAGTTGTTTGCGATGAATGTCCCAATGTCAAGTGAGTTTTGTGTTCTTCAGTGCTATGTGCA